TTATCTGAACCCAATCGAACACCTATGGGGAATTATGAAGATTCAAGTTGAGCATCACTCTGCATCCAGCATCCAGCTCTAAAAGAGGTTGTTCCTGAAGAATGGAAAAAGATGTTGCAATATGTCACCAACTTGTTCATTTCATGCCTAGAAGACTTGGTGCTGTCCTTACAAATCATGGAGGTAATACAAAATACTAGATGTAGTAGTTTTTGTTGTGGGGTGTATTCATTTTTGCATCACCTAATTTGAGTAAAACTGAAGATTTTGTAATCTAAGTTATATTATTAACCTTACTTTCATGTTTTGAGCTAAACAAATGTTCTATAAACTCAGTTTTGTCAAAATTTTGGAAATTGTTCTTGTGTTCATTAAGATATAGATTAAAATCTTACTTTTCAAAAGGGGTGTACTCATTTATGCTGAGCACTGTACGTGATGGGGCAGTATCATGCTAATACAGCTATCTTTGATGAACCATGTGCTAACATCAGTATGTTTTTATCCAGCCTCTTAAGTAATTTGCCATGTACAAACATCTTCAACATTTGCAAAGCTCTTTGGTGCCATAGCACACATCTCTTTAAAAGGAAACGTTGGTGCATCCACAGTGTTACATTGTTACTCCCAATGTTTCTCAAACCAAAAAACCCTAAACTGCTGACATACTGTAAAACTCGACATAAAGTAGTATTAAATCCTCTTTTAGTTTTTTACTTAAGCTCATTGAGCACAGTAAAATAATCATTCTAAAGCAAACTATGCATTAAAAAAATCTTCGCCCAGCACTTGCAGTTTACAACTTCTAGTGCTGCTGAGAGAGCATTTGTTGTCTTACCTTTGGTTCTAACTTATGCAGATTTCAGTACGTTTAACAGTTTGCAGAAATGCAATTTACAGTCAATTTAACATGGTTTCTTATGGATCTCTTCACATCTGTGTGCTTTGAGCCGATGTGTTTTTTGGAAAGGGTCAGGGGCTTTTTTTTCCACAGCAGATTACGTTTTGCCTGTAATAGACTTCAATGGACCAGCACCAAAGTGTTGTGTTTTTCCTGTGTTTTGTGTGCGTGGGGGGGTTGCTAATAGGAAAGCATGAGAGTTCTGCTCGATGCAACTTTACACTTTCTGGCACTCAAGTTGCATCAAAGTTGAATCACAGTATTGCAGGAACCTTTATGTGTCCAAAATTGCATGTTAGGGTTAAGGGCTATGGTTAGGGTTAAATGTTAGGGTTCCCTAAGGGGTAGGATCAGGGTTAAATGTTAGGGTTAAGGGCTAGGGGTTAGGGTTAAATGTTAAAGTTATGGGCTACGATTACGGTTAAATGTTAGGATTAAGGGCTAGGGTTAGGGTTAAATGTTAAAGTTAGGGTTAAGGGCTAGGATTAGGGTTAAATGTTAGAGTTAAGGGCTGGGGTTAGGGTTAAATGTTAAGGTTAAGGGCTAGGATTAGGGTTAAATGTTAGGGTTAAGGTTAAATGTTAGGGTTAAGGGCTAGGATTAGTATTAAATGTTAAAGTTAGGGTTATGGGCTAGGGTTAGGGTTAAGGGCTAGGGTAAAGGTTAAGGGCTAGGGTTAGGGTTAAATGTTAAAGTTAGGGTTAAGGGCTGGGGTTAGGGTTAAATGTTAAGGTTAGGGGCTAGGATTAGAGTTAAATGTTAGGGTTAAGGGTTAGGGTTAAATGTTAGGATTAAGGTCTAGGATAAGGATTACATGTTAAAGTACAGGTTATGGGCTAGGGTTAGGGTTAAGGGCTAGGATTAGGGTTAAATATTAAAGTTAGGGTTAAGGGATAGGATTCGGGTTAAATGTTAGGGTTAAGGGCTGGGGTTAGGGTTAAATGTTAAGGTTAAGGGCTAGGATTAGGGTTAAATGTTAGGGTTAAGGGCTAGGATTAGGGTTAAATGTTAGGGTTAAGGGCTAGGGTTAAATGTTAGGGTTAAGGGCTAGGGTTAGGATTAAATGTTAAGGTTAAGGGCTACCCTTAACTCCAATCCTAATCCTAGCCACTAACCCTAACATGTGACTGGACACATAAAGGTTCCTGTACTACTGTGATGCGACTTTGATGGTACATGAGTGCCAGAGAGTGTAAAGTCACATCAAAGTAGCATCAAAGTCACACTACATAAACAGAACTGTCATGCTTTTCTATTAGCCAACCCCCCCCCCCCACAAAACGCATTAAAAAAGCATTAAAAATGCGTATTCAAAAACACAAAACGCAGAAACCGCAATCTGCATAGATGTGAGCCTAGCCTTATTGCTGCTAGCCTGAACATTTGGTCATAACAGGTAAGAGTTAACAGTGGACAGGGCGGAGCAAAGGATTGCCATGCCATCCTAGGCCATGGGGCTCTGTGTTTCTATCCATGCAACATTGATGGAGACACAACTCTAGTCACTGCATGCAAAGGTGACACCATAGGATGCTGCAAGAGAAAGGAGCCACCTGAAAACCTGAGGCAACAGTCATGGCACCAGCCTAAACTGGAACACAGGCAAGGATTAAAAGATAAAAAGCCGTATATTCAGTAAATGATTAAATCAGTTGCTCAAGTGCTTAAAAACTGTGGCTTTATTGTCACTTTAAGCCACATGATAATGATTCCAGTCTGCGTTAGCCAATTAAGGAATTGTAAAACCTCTAGTGTAATGTTTATCACTATTTAAATTATCCCAAAATCTAAAGGCTTTGTATTTACTAAACACATATGGACATCTCAATCCACTCATATTTCCACCTCACACTCATACACACCAAGCAGAAATGCTGAGCAGTCAAGGAATGTCCTTTATAAAACTGTGAGTGAGTGTTCATCAAAAAGTATGGCTTTATTACAGGTAGAATAATCATTATGTTTATTTTACATTGACCCAAACATAGAATAGTATGCACAATGTGAAAAGTTACAATTGGTCCTGGGCAAGATATAGCACAGACAAAATATGTAATCATTACATTTTAAGAGCATCCAAAGAGGTATGTTTGAAACACTGCATAAGTACACTTAACTGCTTGACCCCCAACAGTGGCCAAGCATATCTGTTTATATACTGAACATACCCAAATTTTTGGGTAAAATTGAAAATATTGCCTGTAAATAAATACACTGCTTTAGAAAAGCTTGTGTTAAAAATATAAATATTTATTTCTTGTTTTCTGCTTCAATTAATATACTAAAAATTAACTATATAATAAACTGATAATATACAGTACACTCAATAACCAGCTATATTCTAGTTTGACCTACCTTGTCATCTTAACCAGCTATTTTCTATTTTGACCCAACTTGCCATCTTAACCAACTATTATCTAGTTTCAACCAACTTGCTAGCTCCCTAAATTATTATTTTTAATCCAAAATGTTACTGTGTTAAATATCCAAGGTCTTCACTTGTTGACGTTTCAGAAAACCATAACTGGAATGGATTTAAATAAAGCTCATATACATAATAAAATAAAAATATCAATGTATATATATTCCACGAGACCTAAAAGGAAACTCCCTCTGTGAATAATTGCTTATGAGTACATATTCAGTTGCAAACAGAGGTTTATGTGGTTGGATAAAGTATCAACATCACCTACCGAACATCTCATTAAACCAAATGCATATGAACTAGTCTTTTTGTACAATGAGTACCTGTAGATACAAAATTAGGATGTCCTGGATACATTCTTTGGTAAAATATTTAATGAAGTTACAAAAAGTGTTTTACTGTAAAAAAAAAGTTGACATTATGAAAGGGGGAACTGTCAAACACTTTACCAAAATTATTTGTGTGCTGCCATAAGCTACCATTGGACACCTGCTTACTTTTTAACATGTGTACAGCTTTTCAGATGTGTATAACCCTTTAAATGAAATGAATGTTCATTAAATAAGAGTCAGTTCTTCACAGTGCCTGCTTCCGGAGTACTACAAGCATGGAACATGAATGCAAACAAACATAAGTGTAATATTGGGAACAAATAGTTTGCAACATATCTTCTTTTAAATGCGATATACATTTACAGTTGTACATGCTTCTACATTGCAATATGAGCTACATTGCATTTGTATATCAGTTTTGTTGTCCACTTTAGAAGAAAGAATTCACAATGTAAAACCAGAACTACCATTGATATTGCCTTCCAATAGTTTGTAAAACATAAGCACCACAGTTTACCTCCCAGTGCCATTTTAGATCATGAAAATTATACCTGACTTCAAGGTTGATTATCTGCTGTTATAAGACAGATGCGCAACAGTTTTCTTGTCTTTATAATAATACTGTCATGCTGCATTAAACTCCACATGGTTGTGTGTCTGGAGCCTGCTGTGATTCTTGACTATCACACGGATTATTGACTGTTGTTCCACACTCAGTTGGAGTGGGATTCACTTCTTCTTTTCCACTTACTTCTTCTGGGGGACTTGGGACTTCTGCTTTAGCTTCAGCTGGGGCTTCCTGAGAGTCACCCGCAGGTTGAGATTCTTGTGTAGGATCAGCTATTACCTCCTGAGAATCACTTGTGGGTTTAGTTTCTTCTATTGGTTCGGCTGGAGCCTCCTGAGAATTATCTATAGGCTTAGCTTCTTCTGGTGAACCAGGTGATGCCTCCTCTACTTTGTTCCCAGAAGTTTCCTCTTGGGGTTTTGAACTCTCAGGGGACTTTTCACTAGTGGCTACCTGTGGATTTTCTTTATGGGAAAGCTCGCAAGGCTTTTGAGATCCTTCACAATTTTTTTGCTCTTTAATACTACAACCCTTGGTTGGAGACTTAAGGTTCTGAGCAGCATTAAGGATATCAGCTTGTAGCTGGTTGCTTGAACCTACCACTTCTTCAACCTTTTCATCATGGGGTTTCTCAGGAATCTCATTAAAAGCACTAATACCTCCATTTTTGTCATCATGGTTAACATACTCTTTTGGTGCAAAAGATGAAGGATAATAAGCAGATGCTTTGTGTCTGTGACTCATGATCACTGCAGCACACATAATAAATATAAGCAGGGCAACCATAGAACCTACCACAATTACAAGCAGCATGTACTCCTTAAAAAACTGTTTTATATTTTCCAAGACATTTAAGGAAGTGGTTGTGCCATTTACATTCTTCACAGAGTTCTCTGTAGTAGATCCAACAATGTCATAGCTCTGAGTATTGGAAACAATCACTGTCCCATCATCAGCTCCACTTCCATACTCAGGTTCAGTGGTGTATCGAGCCAGGGATACAGAATACGTTAAGAACAGCAGCACACATAAGGTCAAAAAGTGTGCCATCTTTCTGTGGAAGTTCAGTATCTGTAAAAACAATAGCTGACATATCATGTCTGGAAAGCCAAGTTTTGCAGAGAATAAAAACAGTAACTATGTACCTAAAATAACAACAAATATGTACTGGGATTGATTAAAACTGGAGAGTGAAAAATCTGGTGCAGCTGTGCATTGTAGCCAATCAGCTTCTAACTGCAGCTTGTTCAGTTAAACTTTGACAATAAAACCTGGAAGCTGATTGGTTTCTAACTTGTATCAGATTTTGCACTCTCCAGCTTTAGTAAATCAATCCCACTGTATAATAACATAAAACACAGATCCTCCTTTGAACGAATAAAAGTAAGGCAGATATGGATATATGCAAAGAAAATCTGTTTTTATATATTTAAATAGTACAGGGGCAGCACAGTGGCTTAGTGGTTAGCACTTCTGCTTGGCAGCACCATGCTATGCCACTACCTGCCTGGAGTTTGCATGTTCTCCCTGTGCCTGTGTGGGTTTCCTCCCACACTCAAAAGACATGTTGGTAGGTTAATTGGTTTCTGTCTAAATTGGCCCCAGTATGTGTGAATGTGAGTTAGGTTCTAAGCTCCTCGAGGGCAGGGACTGACGTGAATGTACAATGTATATGTAAAGCGCTGCGTAAATTGATGGCGCTATATAAGTACAATATAATAATAATAATATTAATAATATATATATTTATATATATATATATATATATATATATATATACTGAAAGCATCTGTTTTTTTTAATCTTTTCATCACATTTCATGGCAAAAGCAAACATGAATTTGAAGTAGTAAATATAGGAAGAACGTTTACAAGATTCTACACAAGCAGTTTATGCCATGTAAAGCAATGTGTTTTTAGATGCATTGCAAGTTCAAAGTTAACTAGACTTTTCAAATATACATACGAACAACGCTTTTTAGACTCCTTAATCAATTTCACATATCTCAGTTGTAAAAATAGATTTGGCATTTGTATAAACTCAACTCACGCAGAACAATATCATGGACAATTATGTAGTTGTGTCTCCTCTCATATTCTCTTACTATCCTCTCACATAAAGCAAGGGTTAAACTTGTACTGCTGGATAATAAGGAACTTTCGCACTGGATGGTTGAGCTATCACACTGGATCCAAGTGAGGCTGGGTGAGCTATCACTGGATCCAAGTGAGGCTGGGAGAGCTTTCACACTGTAATCAAGTGAGGCTGGGTGAGCTATCACACTGGATCCAAGTGAGGCTGGGTGAGCTTTCACACTGGATCCAAGTGAGGCTGGGTGAGCTTTCACACTGGATCCAAGTGAGGCTGGGTGAGCTTTCACACTGGATCCAAGTGAGGCTGGGTGAGCTTTCACACTGGTTCCAAGTGAGGCTGGGTGAGCATTCACACTGGATCCAAGTGAGGCTGGGTGAGCTTCCACACTGGATCCGAGAGTGAGGCTGGGTGAGCTTTCCCATTGGATCCAAGTGAGGCTGGGTGAGCTTTTACAATGGATCCAAGTGAGTCTGAGTGAGCTTTCACACTGGATCCAAGTGAGGCTGGGTGAGCTTCCACACTGGATCCGAGTGAGGCTGGGTGAGCTTTCCCATTGGATCCAAGTGAGGCTGGGTGAGCTTTTACAATGGATCCAAGTGAGTCTGAGTGAGCTTTCACACTGGATCCAAGTGAGGCTGGGTGAGCTTTCACATTGGATCCAAGTGAGGCTGGGTGAGCTTTCACACTGAATCCAAGTGAGGCTGGGTGAGCTTTCACACTGGATCCAAGTGAGGCTGGGTGAGCTTTCACACTGGATCCAAGTGAGGCTGGGTGAGCTTTCACACTGGATCCAAGTGAGGCTGGGTGAACTTTCACACTGGATCCAAGTGAGGCTGGGTGAGCTTTCACACTGGATCCAACTTTGAAATTGTGTGACTTCATTTGAAGTCGCACAATTTCAACTTTGGATGGCATTGCGACTTCATAGACATCTGTGCAACTTCAGGCACAGATGTCTATGCAAGTCACACCCCAAATCAGGAATTGTAGTGCAGGAAATACTTTTCTAATCAGCACAACTCCGACAAAGTCGGAGTCGCACAGATTAGAACAGTTCCATTGCTGATCATTGCATGCTATTTGTAATGCGATTTGAACAGTCAAATTGTATGACAATTCGCATCAGTGTGAACCAGGGCTTAGTCCAGCAATGGATATATGCAAACTGCATTTATGTGCAAAATAAGGACATTTAACCCTTGCAGTACCTATTGTTCTTAAAATCAAAGTAAAAAAACATAGGATGTACTGTAGCTATATTTTACTGAAATTTAGATGTCAAAGTCTATATATCTTTTTTTTTTTTTTTTGTAATGTTAAAAACATTTTATACTGAGCCAAAAAAATGAAGTACATAAAGAGCAGCAGCAAATCCTGTACTATCCCTTAAAACATGATGCAGAGGTTGGGAGCCCTGCCCCCTTGTGTGTGCCTACCACATCTGGGCTCCGTCTGCCTCTTTGTTATAAAGTTCAGTCTCCAGGGACTCCAGATCCCAGGCTCACAGGTTAGAAAGGAGAAAATGTTCCACATCTGGAGGAAACACTAGTAAACTCAAGAGGTGGGTCTTGCTTTTTTCTAAGTTCAGCTTTTCTGCTCAAAAAATAAAAGCTCTCCAGGAGGACCATTAAGTAACACACAAATCACATTTTATAAACAGAATACATAAGTGATCTAACAAAGGCAAATATGGCTGCTGCCATAGCAACCATTCAGATACATGTTAGCTTTGCTTTTCTAACTTGTGCTTCATAAATGACAGCTGAAACCCGATTGCTGTGGTCAATAGCTTCATCATCAAAATGGCATCTAAACCCAGAAATGATCATATTGAAACACAATGCAAACTTCAATACAATTGAACACACGTAGATAAATTAACAAAATTCAGATGACTGTTATAGACAGTAATATATGGGGAGAATATAAACACATTATATACCAGCATTAACTATAACAGACACTGAAACTAAATAATAATTAACTGGTGCTTTCACATATAAAAGTATGCAGAATATAGTTAGTTACATTAATACTGTTTATAAAATATTGTGGATATTAACACTCTTTATGCGCCCAAGGATTTCCTAAAAAGGTTAAAAGTATACCTCTAAAAGGCTTCTTACCAACTGCTCTTAAATTCCAGATCGTAAAGAAAATTGCCTGCAAGCTACACGCCAGCTGTGTCTCAGGACGCGTAAGTGAAAAATTAAGAAGAAAAAAAAAATGCAGCTAAACGTATACACTTAGGACTTTCACTATGGCCGTGTGATTTGTTATAGGCAACAAGTTAGAGGAGGGAGAGTTTGGTAACTTACTGTTGTGTCCCAAGCTTGTAATTTCCTGCAGACTCTACTGCTGAGATAGCCTGTCTCCTAACTCAGTCTAATGCAGACTGTTTTCATTAAGGAAAGGAAAAGAGAAGAGGGGGGCAAGCTCAGCCCTTAAAATAAAATCCCTCCTGCCTTTTCTGTGCATCCTTCTGGATCCAGAGGCGGGGATATTTAACCCCATCACTATTGAGGGGGCTACAATGATCACATTTTGGGCCAGGAATGTATCATTTTTTTTACTGGAATCAACCTTTTGTGCATAAACATATGCTGTTGTACACTGGTCAAAAAAATTTAAAGGAACACTTTGAAAACACATCAGATCTCAATGGGGAAAAATATCATGCTGGATATCTATACTGATATGGACTGGGTAATGTGTTAGGAACATAAGGATGCCCCATCCTTTGATGGAAATGAAAATGATCAATCTACAGAGGACTGAATTCAAAGACACCCTGAAAATCAAAGTGAAAAAATTATGCAGCAGGCTAGTCCATTTTGTTGAAATGTCATTGCAGCAACTCAAAGTGGTACTCAGTAGTTTGTATGGCCCCCATGTGTTTGTATGCATGCCTGACAATGTCGGGGCATGCTCCTAATGAGATGAAGGATGGCGTCCTAAGGGTATTACCTCCCAGATCTGGACCAGGGCATTACTGAGTTCCTGGACAGTCTGAGTTGCAACCTGGTGGCGTCGGATGAAGGGAACCATGACATCCCAGAGGTTTTCTATTGGATTTAAGTCAAGCGAGCATGGGGGCCATTCATTGGTATCAATTCCTTCATCCTCTAGGAACTGCCTGCATACTCTCGCCGCATGAGGCCGGGCATTGTCGTGCACCAGGAGGAACCCAGGACCCACTGCACCAGCATAGGGTCTGGCAATGGGTCCAAAGATTTCATCCCAATACCTAATGGCACTCAGGGTGCCATTGTCTAGCCTATAGAGGTCTGTGCATCCCTCCATGGATATGCCTCCCCAAACCATCACTGACCCACCACCAAAACGATCATGCTGAATGATGTTACAGGCAGCATAACGTTCTCCATGGCTTCTCCAGGAGTTTAATTGACTTGATGTGATACTCAGAGTAAAAAGTGTTCGTTTAATTTTTTTGAGCAGTGTATATAATAGCTTTTCTCAACCTTTTTTCAGTCAAGGCACCCTTTAAAAATATGGACAGTCTCGAGGCACCCCATTCTAAAATGTGAAAAATTATTCTAATAGTTTTATATAATGCAGCAACATCCACACATGTAGGACACCCAACAAAAGAGGTGATTTATTCTTCCAAAGCAAATACACTTTTGCACACTGCTATTGACTAGTATTCCAATGTTTCTCTTCTCCCTCAGTTTTTATCCATCACTGAGCTAATGTGACCCCAGCACTGATGGAGAGAGGGCAGGGGAGAGTCAAGCTAGGATGCTGTACGGGCAGTTGATATCCTCCTTATCAACTGATGACGTTGTTGGTTGTCAGGACGCCAGCAGCTAGAAGGTTGTAATGGTGCACAATGAAAACCTGTGGCTTTGTGTTCCACCCACTGGCTTGTATACAGGTTTTAGGCAATTTTTAAACATTTGCCAAGGCACCCCTGAAGAAACCTCAAGGCACCACAGGTTGCCTGGGCCCCCTGGTTGAGAAAGGCTGTACTATACACTGTGAACTAAAAGCAGGAGAACTTCTACATAGCAAGTTGTATCATACATCTACAGTGACACAAAAGACAAATGGTGAATGGTATCACAATATCTATCAGTATCACAGTATCACTCCTAGATTGTAAGCTCGAAAGAGCAGGGCCCTCGATCCCCTCATGTTTTGCATTGTATTGGTATTGTTCTGTCACATGTTCTGTTCCCCTCTGTAATGTACAGCGCTGAGCGAACTATTGGCGCTTTATAAATACTGTATAATAATAATAATAATAATAGTTGCATACCTGGTGGCAGTCATGATTATAAAACAATTTACAAAGAATATTTTTTATGTTTTTTTTTTTAAGTTTGCTATGCATTTTTTATTGCTTTAGCAATTATCCTTGATTATTCCCATGCCGATGCCTATGTAGCTCATATATTTTTTTATAGCAAGTTATAAAACTATTCATCAGTCATTGTCCTAAAAAAAGCTCACAACTCATCTAACATCAGTATAGAATACAGCAGGACCAGTTTGGGAAGCAGCCAATTAAACCTACTATGTGTTTCTCAAGTGTGGAAGGAAATTCAAACAAACATTGAGAAAACATGCAAACTCCAGGCTGGTAGTGTCCCAAAAGATCTGAACCAAAACCAATAAAAAGCTGCAAGAGAAGATTGTTAAATTCCCAAAGGAAACCTATGGTCACAGCATACATTTTCATTTTAGACCATCAGCAATGTAATAGCAATACAAACAATAGTTATATTTGACAATCCAATATAAGATCACTTGAAAAATCTCTTTTCAAGTTGTGAGTCCTGCCTGTCTGCTGGCCAGCTCTTTCTGCAACTTCCTGGTTTCCATGCATGCTTTGCAGCTTCTCTTCTGTTGTAGTGATGGGCCAAACACCCCCCCCCCCCCCCCCCCCGTTTGGTTCGCGGCCGAGCATTCGAACCTAATGAAAGTTCGACCACAAACTTTGAACTTAATACTCTATGACACTCGAACTTGTAAATTCAAAAGTTTTGAAGTCTTGAAGGCTTATATGCAAGTTATTGGCTATAAAAGGAGTATGGGGCCTCGAGTACAGCCCTGAGGGACATGAATCAGTGAAAACATTTTTCAAAAAGTACTGTTTTTAAAGGGGCAGTCATTTTTCATTACTTAAATTTAAAAAAAAAGAAAAAGAAAAATTCATTTAAATATCATGCTTTGGGGGGTCCCCTTAAACTACCTGTAAAGTTGCACATCTGTAGAATGTATAGAACCTGCTGCAGCAGAACAGCCTGGGTTCCCGCCCAATCTATACCAGCCCCTTTAGGTCTGGTAGGAAGGTTAGGAGGGACTCAGGGACTCCATAGTAATTTTTTTTTGTAATGTGTAGGGTTCCCCCTAAAAGCCATACCAGGCCTTTTAGGCCTGGTAGGACTTTTAAGGAGAACTCCACATCCCAAATATGGGGGGAATGTGCATGGGGTTCCCTCTAAAAGCCATATCAGGCCCTTTAGGCCTGGCAGGACGTTTAAGGGGAACCCCATCCCCAGTAAATGGGGGGAAAAAAGCATGGGGTCTCCCCTAAATTCCTACTAGACCCTTGTTCCAAGCACAGGAAAGGGGGGGGGGGGACGAGCGAGCACCCCCCTCCTGAACCATACCAGGCACATGCCCTCAACATGAGGGGTGCTCTGGGGTAGGGGGGCTCCCCCCCAAGGCACCTTGTCACCTTGTTTATGAGCACAAGGGCCTCTTCCTCACAACCCTGGGCTATGGTTGTGGGGTCTGAAGGGGTGACTTATCGGAATCTGGAAGCCCCCTTTAAGAAGGGGGCCCCCAGATCCTGCCCCCCCTTGTGAATGAGTATGGGGTACATAGTATCCCTACCCATTCACCAAAAAAGTGTAAAATGTGAATAAAAACACAACAGTTTTTGACAAGTCCTTTATTTAAAAAAAAAAGCCAAAAAAAATGGTTCCATCGTTGTAATCCATTGTCAATCACAGCATCCAGCATTGTTACAACAACGCCGTCTTGCCAAAATAAAAAAAAAAACGACACCCACCGATGCATCCGCACCTGCCAATATCTGACATTTGCTGGTTAAATGTGAACAATTGGGTGGAGCTAGCAGTGATATCACCGCTAGCCCTGCCCAATAGTGCTGTGATTGACCAAAGCATTGCACCTGACCTGTCAGAGCGCAGTGCATTGTAGGGCGTGGTGGGAGAGTAGCCCGCTGAATGCTCTTACTATTCATATGTTCATCGAACACACGAACGGCCGTTGTTTGAGTCGAACTTACATTCGACTCAAAAATCAAGGACATCACTATTCTGTTTACTTTCACTTTCTTAGGACTACATATCCTATGGTATCTTGCTATCTGCACACAGTAATTCCTGTGCTGTCTCCACCTCCTGAAACTCTCAGCACCTCTGTGTTCAGAAGGCAGGCTCTGTGAAATGTGTGACACAACAGTGTCTACTCCAGGAGCATCGTGAATACTTGTCACAGAATTCAAGGAAGTAAACGTGTGGGGACCCTCACAAAGTAAGTGTAAAAAATTCCAAGATTGTTCAGGTTAATGATTTGATTTTATCTTATCTTATTTATATGATTTTACATTTTACCCATAGATACACTTTAATTACTGTGATGCCTGACAATCTACCAAAATCTTGGAGTGGCACACTAACCTACATGAACTTCTTTTGCCAAAAGAGAAACATAATAATGGGATTGTACTAGTCCTCCATTCACACTAGTGTGACTTGTCATGCGAGTTTGGACACATAAAGTCGCATGGCAAGTCGCAGAACATTGATTTCAATGGCACCTCTTTCGGTCTGTGCAACTTAAAGTGACAGCGACTTTGAAAAGGTTCCTACGCTACTTTTATGAGACTTAAGTGACAGGAATTGACACTGGAAATCGTGCGACTTTGGATTCACATTAGTGTGAACCAAGCCGTAATGACTTCTCATAATCTTACAAAATCATTCAGTGTATATTCGTGGTGTAAATTGAACAAAGCTGAGGCTATGGTGGGCTTTTATAACTGTACGGAGGCATCTAGCAGTATCCTTTTCAAAACATTCAATAAAGCACTGCATGCAACATTGTCCTTCTACAAAGCACATTAACCCATAGCAAAATCACTGAAATATGCTCTTCATTTGGTAGTTATGAGTAACTGCCCTTTGCACATGATCGGTGCTTTTTGCACTACAATTCTGAGTGAATCAGTTGGAGTTGGAGCCCTTACCGAACAACTATTAGCATAACTAAAGTTAACACCCATTCTACAAAATGAAAACAGAAACCTTTTGAAGATGCTTTGCACTTTGAAGCAGACATGGAACTTGACTGCTGCACCTCC